TTATTACCCCTTCACACTTGTTCCTGTTTAACCTGATCTGAAACCTGTTGAGAACTCTGCTCCCTTCCCCCTTCCCTCTGCTCCAGTTTGGCAGCCTGCCTTTCACTTCACTCCCTTTCCAAGGACTTTCAGTGCAGAGGCACCCACACCAGCCTCTCCATCCTGGAGAGGGCAGGTTACTGCCTGGGCCACTGCTCCTGGCTGACCCTACGCCCAACAGAAAGACACCACATACCTCATAGACTTGGTTTCCTCCATCTAGTCTGGGCAGTTCCGAGACTCAGCTGAGTCCTCTGTTTCATTTCATCTCTTGTCAGTTCTTGGGGTTACCTGAGAGACTGGAATCAATATCCAGTGGGTCAGGGCAGGGACAAAGTATCATGAAAGAAAATCATTTCCAGCTGGCAGCACTGAACTGTAGTCACACATCTGAAGAGAGACAGGTCAGCTCAAAGATGGTTGGCGTAGGAAACAAGGAGAAGTAGTGAGGACACTCCCCTTGTCCATTCTGGCATGCTGCAGGGACTGGGCAGCCTCCACTCAGGCTGCCACCTACCCATCTTGGTAGATCTGTCCCCACTGACATGGGACCATCAGGCCTTCTGACCACTCATTGACATCACATGACTGACTCCTTTGGAAAGTTGCTTGATGGGCAGAAGATCAGAATGAGGAGAGGCTTGCTTGTGTCTTTGACTGTGTTCTTTGCCCCAGTACTCTCTCCCAACCTGAATTTGCTTCAGAGGGTCCGTTACACCATGGATTGAGAATCCACACCTGGAGGGGTTCCTTGTAAGTCAGACAACATGTGGTACCGTGAGTGGACAGAATTCAAAACAAAAGGTAGAATTTGGGTTCTTATCCTGGCTCAGTTGGGTAGCTTTGGACCTGTCATTTCACTTCTCGGAGTCCCAGTGTCCTCATCAGTAAAATGTAATAGTAAATAATACTATTTTTTTATGTTTACCACAAGACCTTCTTGTGAGTGCAGATCAAGAGAATGACTAAATCCTCTGTACCCCATAAAATGTTAGGGCAGTGTGTGGGAAGTATCACTGTGTCAGACACAGTCTTGCATCCTGACAGCTCATCCTCAAGATCATACCTGGGACAGGGCTGGGCTGGGGACTGGGTTGTGAGAACAGAGCCCCTGCTGGACCACGAGACTCTTTTTGTCATGAGGGCAGAGAAAACTTACTTTTCAGTGAATATTGAGTTCTTACCAAGGAAGAGCAATAGAAATGACAGAACAGAAAGAAAAGGCAACTGTGAGAAATAAATAGAGTGAGACAAAGAGCCAAGAAGAGGGGGGAGGGCAGATCTCCCAGCCTCCGGTGCTACCCTCTGCTCCTGGGTCCTGCTGGAGTCCCCCTGGGCCTTGGTTTTCCGCTTTGAGCTCGGCCCCTCACTTTACAAAGCTCAGGGTATCCTCAGCACTGTTCTGTAAGACACTGAATTTGTAAATCCTGGACAGTGCCTTACTGTGGGTACAGGGGGACACATTTTGATCGCTTTGCATTCCACTTATGTTTTAGGAAACTGATAAAGATCAAGAAGCCATAAACACTATGCTTAGGACTCCAGAGAACCGAACCCTGATCAAACGAATGCTGATTAAGTGTGCTGATGTGTCCAACCCCTGCCGACCCCTGGAGCAGTGCATTGAGTGGGCTGCACGGATCTCAGAAGAGTATTTTTCTCAGGTAAGATGCAGCCTCCTAAGTGAGAGAGAGAGAGAAACACCCTAAG